GTGTTACGGGGATCATTTTTTCTTACGATTTTGTTGCAAATTCAGCGAGAAATTTTTTTCTACCGACCAGTAAACAGCGACAAGCCAATTTTTGTCTCTTTCTAGGTATTTTTGGCGCAGCTGCTTCAGTGACCGCTAAAATTTCATCTTTCGAAACTGTCGCGAAACGAGAAGCCATTTTGAATCCCAAAACAGTGAATATCCAAGGATATTCCTAGTTACGGTAGCCTGTTCCAGGCTCCGAAATAGTCGGGCCCGCTGAATTGAGAAAGCGCGAAGACGAAAATAAAACGGGAGGCAACTAGGGAAAGCAGGGGTGGCGGAGCCTGTAGTCATTGCGGTATACCAGGAGCTGGTATATCCTCTGATTGGTGAAATTTGACAGATTGTATCAACACTCTCAAAGCGGGTTGTTCCTGTCACTCAGAAAGATGGCATGCGGCTTCCACGCGCGTGAAATAGAGGAATCCAAGATAACTTCTGTGTTGAACGCATGTTTACGAGATTTCCCGCACATACGAGCACTGAGGAAGGAACAAAAGACCTGCCTTGTGAACTTGGCACGAGGAAAAAATGCTTTTGCAATCCTTCCGACCAGCTTCGGTGTTGCCTGATAACAAAGTGGCAAAAACAGAACAGTCGCAAGAAGGAGTTATCTTCGCGCTCCAGTCCAGACTCACATTTCCTAAGGATCTCTTTAGAAAAACAAGCTGGAGTTTAATCTTCGGACTGACTCACAACGTAATTCTCCATATTTAAAGTAGCTTCAGTTTAAGCTGCAATCCATTCTTCGAAATTTGGATCTGTGAATCATTACTCGGGAATTAAAATTTAACATCCTGCAAAAACACTAACGAGCTGGGCCCAGCGTGACAAAACTCATTAAAGGAAACAATCACATTCACCGACAAAAGAAAATCGCTTTCAGTTATTTAGATCAAGGAGGGACTTTAGATAAAATCAAAATAACTTAAAACCCTTCTTTATCCGCAATGAAGAACTTTACGTTTAAAAAGAGGTCAAAGAAAATGCTCTTGCATCAGAGGGCAAATCATCAATTACAACAACAACAACAACAAGTTTATTCAGTATTACCATTTTGTACAGGTGTTACCGATTAAAATTATGCCAATTATGCCGACAAGAAACAATAACCGCAGAAAAGCAATATGCGTGTCACGACCTCTCAGTATGAAACAAGAGGGCAAACTTGTGGGTGGTGTGCACATTACGATTGCGATGCATCGTGGATTCAACATTTTCAAGATGGCGGCGAAGGTCGAGAAAAGTTATATGCTTTATTATTCAATAGATACAGTTCTTTCCTTAGATCGTTTTACTCGATTTGATACGGTAATATTTGTTTAGATTTTTTCTGTGAAGAACAACAAATTAATATTCTTCATTTCAATCTAAAACGTGGAGCCCGAAGATTCCTCCTGTAAGAGCTTGAAAATTTGAACCCGGTTTTTAAGAAGCTATAATTTCCATTATATTGCCCGTCGAAAGTAGAGGATAGTTGTAAGTGTTTCTACAAACTTTGTTCTACGCTAATTTTTTATCGCTTCCCAACGCGCCCTACGTTTTGTGATACTTTTACCGAATTGAAACCGGCATGTTTTCATGGGAAAATGTAGCCTCGCGAAGACCAATGTGACATGTTACTGGAAGTGTTACTGTTGTAATCACAAGCTTATCACAAAATAGCGGTGCAGCGGCGACGGGTTCCTCCAAACAATAGCATTAGGTGAGCATAAAATGTTCGAAATTGGTAGGAATGTCTGTTTTTGTAATAGGACTAAGAAAAGCATAATAAAATTGCAGTCACACAAAGTCAT